TCATGCAAAAATAATCTCATAAATTTAGGTGTCAAATTAAACTTGCCACAGCTTCCTTTGTTCTTTTACAGATTGATAGTAAAAAACATATAACCTTAGTTCTGACCAGCAGGAAACCCAGAGTCTGTATTTTAACTTACAGCCCTTCAATTTTCTCTTATAATAACCAAGACTCGATGTGAGACTTTCTCATTCTTGGGAGCTTTATCCTTTGGTAACATCTTGACATTATTTCAGTGTTCACATTCTGGATCCTCCAGTCCTTAATTATTCTTCTAGTCTTCTGTGTTCTAAAAGTTCTGTGTAGTAGGACTATTTTTCCTTTATCTTTTGAGGTATTTTCATACATAGGCTGGGAAGGCACTAGAGTTTATCTTCAAATCTGGAAATCTGTGGTGGTGAGGGATTTGAATATAAAGGAGACCTGAAGGAATTTCTGGTGCTCAGGGATAAACTGTTGATAGTGAGTAGAAGACAGTGGATTTAGGTACCCAGTGCTATGGTAGCTCTGAGGAGGAAAAGATTAAATATGTTTGAAGGAAGATGGTTTGAGCTGGATGGCTTCTGAGAGACACAGAATAATCAAAAGACATGATTTGTCTGGGAAATGGTGAGAATTTTAGTGTGGATGGGAAAAAATCCCAGGGATGCAGGGGTGGTTCAACATACGAAAAATCAATAAACGTAATAAACCACATTAACAGAAGCAAAGACAAAAACCACTTGATCATCTCAATAAATGCAGAAAAAGCCTTTGATAAGATCCAACATCATTTCATGATAAAAGCTCTAAGAAAATTAGGATTGAAGGAAAGTTCCTCAACATTATAAAAGCTATATATGACAAACCTACAGCCAGCATTATACTTAACAGAGAAAAACTAAAACCATTCCCTCTAAAATCAGGAACCAGACAAGGATGCCCACTATCTCCACTCCTATTCAACATAGTACTGGAATTCCTAGCCAGAGCAATTAGGCAAGAAGAAGGAATAAAAGGAATACAAATAGGTAAAGAAACTGTCAAAATATCCCTATTTGCAGATGACATGATCCTATACCTTAAAGACCCAAAAAACTCTACTCAGAAGCTTCTAGACATCATCAATAGCTATAGCAAGGTAGCAGGATATAAAATCAACATAGAAAAATCATTAGCATTTCTATACACTAACAATGAGCAAACTGAAAAAGAATGTATGAAAACAATTCCATTTACAATAGCCTCAAAAAAAAATCAAATACCTAGGTGTAAACCTAACAAAAGATGTGAAAGACCTCTACAAGGAAAACTATAACTTCTGAAGAAAGAGATTGAGGAAGACTATAGAAAGTGGAGAGATCTCCCATGCTCATGGATTGGTAGAATCAACATAGTAAAAATGTCATACTCCCAAAAGTAATCTACATGTTTAATGCAATTCCCATCAAAATTCCAATGACATTCATTAAAGAGATTGAAAAATCTACTGTTAAATTTATATGGAAACACAAGAGGCCACGAATAGCCAAGGCAATACTCAGTCAAAAGAACAATGCAGGAGGTATCACAATACCTGACTTCAAACTATATTACAAAGCAATAACAATAAAAACAGCATGGTACTGGCACAAAAAACAGACATGAAACCAGTGGAACAGAATAGAGGACCCAGATATGAAGCCACAACTATAAGCAACTTATCTTTGACAAAGGAGCTAAAAATATACGATGGAGAAATAGCAGCCTCTTCAACAAAAACTGCTGGGAAAACTGGTTAGCAGTCTGCAAAAAACTGAAACTAGATCCATGTATATCACCCTATACCAAGATTAACTCAAAATGGATCAGGATCTTAATATCAGACCCCAAACTCTTAAGTTGATACAGAAAGAGTAGGAAATACTCTGGAGTTAGTAGGTATAGGTAAGAACTTTCTCAATGAAACCCCAGCAGCACAGCAACTAAGAGATAGCATAGATAAATGGGATCTCATAAAGCTAAAAAGCTTCTGTTTATCAAAGGAAATGGTCTCTAAACTGAAGAGAACACCCACAGAGTGGGAGAACATATTTGCCAACTATACATCAGACAAAGGACTGATAACCAGAATATATAGGGAACTTAAAAAACTAAATTTTCCCAAAACTAATGAACCGGTAAAGAAATGGGCAAGTGAACTAAACAGAACTTTCTCAAAAGAAGAAATTCAGATGGCCAGAAAACACATGAAAAAATGCTCACCATCTCTAGCAATAAAGGAAATGCAAATTAAAACCACGCTAAGATTCCACCTCACCCCTGTTAAAATAGCCATCATCAGCAGCACCATGAACAACAGGTGTTGGCGAGGATGCGGGGAAAAGGAACCCTCTTATACTGTTGGTGGGGATGTAGACTAGTACAACCACTCTGGAAAAAAATTTGGGTTCTACTTAAAAAGCTAGACATCGATCTACCATTTGATCCAGCAATACCACTCTTGGGGATATACCCAAAAGACTGTTACTCCAGAGGCACCTGCACATCTATGTTTATTGACGCACTATTCACAATAGCCAAGTTATGGAAACAGCCAAGATGCCCCACCACTGACGAATGGATTAAGAAAATATGGTATCTATACACAATGGAATTTTATGCAGCCATGAAGAAGAACGAAATGTTATCATTCGCTGGTAAATGGATGGAATTGGAGAACATCATTCTGAGTGAGGTTAGCCTGGCTCAAAAGACCAAAAATCGTATGTTCTCCCTCATATGTGGACATTAGATCAAGGGCAAACACAACAAGGGGATTGGACTATGAGCACATGATAAAAGCGAGAGCACACAAGGGAGGGGTGAGGATAGGTAAAACACCTAAAAAACTAGCTAGCATTTGTTGCCCTTAACTCAGAGAAACTAAAGCAGATACCTTAAAGCAACTGAGGCCAATAGGAAAAGGGGAACAGGAACTAGAGAAAAGTTTAGATCAAAAAGAATTAACCTAGAAGGTAACACCCACGCACAGGAAATCAATGTGAGTCAATGCCCTGTATAGCTATCCTTATCTCAGCCAGCAAAAACCCTTGTTCCTTCCTATTATTGCTTATACTCTCTCTACAACAAAATTAGAAATAAGGGCAAAATAGTTTCTGCTGGGTATTGAGGGGGGGAGAGGGAGGGGGCGGAGTGGGTGGTAAGGGAGGGGGTGGGGGCAGGGGGGAGAAATGAACCAAGCCTTGTATGCACATATGAATAATAAAAGAAAAAGGAAAAAAAAAAAGGAAGTGATCTATAAGAAGTTGTAAAGCAGACAATTTTAACAAAGGACTTTATTAGCCATGTGTGAGAGTTTGAATTCATCTTGTAGGCTGTCCAGAAGACAAAAACACAAAGAGCTGACTGAGCACATGTTGGAGGCATCAAAATAGAGTTTCTGCACTACAAATTATACCTTAACCTTAATGGGACTCACAGTATCAATGATGTATTCATGGATCATAGTGGACCTTGTAGTAGCTATCTAAAGAGAAGCTAGGTGCCTTATTTGCAATTTCTAATGTTTTGCCCACTGAAGTTTATGCTTTTGAGTCATTTTAGGGTTAGTAGGTCATGAAAATTCATCAGTGGTCATGAGAGATTGTTGATTAAATTAACACAAAGCCCATCGGCAAGTCGACTCTTTCATAATAGAGTTCAAACAAATGGACAAGTTCTTATTTGGATAAGTGTCACCTATCAAACTAAGGTTCTTAACAGTGCTTGGTTTAGCATCTGGCTTGAAGAGCTAGCATTATAGGTTATCAGTGTGAAATATGACTGTGGGATTTAAATAAACTCCAATTTCTCAAGATCTGATATCTGGAGCAGTTTTGATATAAATATAGAGAAGTTTGGAAGTTAACTTAGGAATTTCAACTTTTTAATTACTGGAAATATTAATGGCTTTTATAAGAGAAGAAAAAATTCTCTTGCTATAAGGAATGTATGCTTTTGTGTCATAAATGGGAGTTTGTGTTGTTCTTTAGTAAAGCATTCTCAATTTTCTGGTTAATTGAACTTTCCTACAAAGAAATTCATTCAGGTTAGAAATTCATTCAGGTTGACCATCATGCTTATTTGAAAAATACATATATTCATATCTAAATTTCTAAGTGGGATTAGTTCTCGGGGACTTACACACACACACACACACAAATACACAAATACCAAAATCTGAGGATGCACAAGTCCCTTACATAAAGTGGCTGAGAATTTGTGAAGAACTTTGCACATCCTTCCATACTTCAAATGTTGATCTCTATAGTTTATTATAGTATAATGTTATGTAAATAGCATTATATTGCATTGCTTAGGGAAGAATGACAAGAAAAAAGTCTGTACTGTTCAGTTACAGATAGTTTTTCAAATATTTTCAATCCTCAACTGTTTTAGTATTTTCAACCTGTGGATACATTATTTTGGTTGAAAGTTCTAAGAACATGTCAGCTTAGAATACAGATAGCTTAATGGGACTCCCTGCTAAGCAGCTTACTAGCAGCCTGCATACTTCTCTTTCATTTCCCTCTTGTCCCTGCTGGATCACATTCTTTTCCCTCAGTGAAAAATGTTCTTGTGTCAATACCTAGACATATGACATTCCAATCTTTCTACAATTCCTTCTTTTTGCAACTTGGCCAACTTGACAGCTGCCTAAAGGCCAATTGCTTCCTCTTGGTACTAACTGGTCTCTTTAGGTGCAAGTGCTATGATTCCTTGTCCTTCTGTGCTCCTAGACAACTGGATGCATCCCCTCATCACTGCCTTTATCACATAGTAAGCTTGTTAGTATATTGTCCTTCCATACACATTGTTTACTCTGTTGGTCAGGAACAGACATTGGGACTGGGTTCTAATCTAATAGTGCAATTGTGCTTAACTTGTGTTGAATTCTGAAGAAATTCTGAATAAAGTCAAGGAAAAGATTTATGGGCACTATTGAGTTTGAGGCATCTGACCTGTTAATGTAATGCATATATTACCTTTTCTCTTTCAGAGGACCAAATTCCCAGGGGCTTCCCGACCATTGACATGGGCCCACAGTTGAAGGTGGTAGAGCGTACACGCACTGCCACCATGCTTTGCGCAGCCAGTGGTAATCCGGATCCAGAAATCACTTGGTTTAAAGATTTCTTACCAGTTGACACAAGCAACAACAATGGTCGTATTAAGCAGTTACGATCAGGTAGGGTCTTGTTACTGTTTCTACTGACTCCTAGAGAATTTTTTCTTTAAAAAAATCTTTCTCTCTCTTTATTTTTTAATTTTAATTTCATTTATTTTTAAGTTTTAGGTATTGATTTTTCTCCTTCTTCTCTTTCTCTGTTATTTAATGTGTTGTTCATGTTTGTGATGTCATGGCCTGATTCAGAATCTTTCTTCTCTCTGTGTTTTGCGGCTTCTGTTTTATCCACATTGCTCACTGCTGTGACTGTATTTTTGATATTTTTTTTTAATTTACTGCTTTTCTGCAGTATTTGATGGATCCATTTTCTCCTCTTTCTTTCTTCTTTCTCTGTTTTCTTTTGAAACAAATTTATTTCAACATTGGACTTCATTCGACCATGTAAGGAGTTCCAATTATTATATCCATTAAGGACCAAATGTTCATATTTAACACTGAAATGACTCAACTTTGTTAAATTGCATTTTCCGCTGTCTTTTCTACATTTTAACTCATCCAAAAGTACCAAAGTTTAGTAAGTTTGGGAACATCTGCTTTCTTTTCACTTTTACATAAAACATGGAAATGTTATCTCATGAGCAACCAGATGTATTTTTTAAAATCCTTTTCAAAGTACCAAAGAAATGAGGGGATTTTTATTAATGCGATTAGTGTATCACTGTGAGTGAGCACTGTCCACACATTAGCCACAGTAGTGTGCGCCCATACTCAAGGTTTTTGAACCCTCCAGTGACTGGATCTACAGAAGTCTGCTTTTGGTGTAGACTCCAGCTTTTGCTGTTTTCTCTCTCTCTCTCTTTACCCCTTTCTCCCTCTCCCGTTCCCATCCCAAGTTTATTCCTTTGCTCTCTATAGATTAAATAAAAAGTTAAATCTGTATATCTTAAGTTCTAGAACCTGTCCCTAGGTAATTTCCCAGGGACATATAATGATGAGCTGTTTACTGTGACATTGGTAGGAATATTGATAAAGAATTCTGTTGCTTAATTGCCTGTCTTCCCAGAGTTCTCAGCTTTTGACCTGTCCTGTGATGTTAAAGCGTCTTGTTAACTGCCTCTTTTTACTTGTTGTCAGCAGAATTGTGTAGATTAGCCTTCTGTTATTGTAAATGAAGAATTAATTATTCACATGTAACATAGATGATTTAATATAATAAAGCTTTAACTCTGAAAAATTTGTACCAAATTATAAGGAATATAATAATATTTTTATGCTGTCTTTCTTCTCTCCGTATTTAAATCTCCAGAATCTATTGGTAAGTGCTTAGTTCTGAAGCGCACTTCACCCCCACTAATTTCCATATTCAGAATTATTATTATTATTATTAATAAAATGCATGGCATGCATTTTACTAACTGTCAGTGTAGACACCAGCTCTCCATTAGTGGCGCGCACACACACCTCCACAGAACTGTTATAGTAAGAACACTGTATAGAAATAAAATAGTACACAAGTTATATAACACAAATGTAGCATAGTTAATAGCATAAGAAATCCAAGCAACAGTGTGTGTTTGTAGTTAGCCTTTAGCATTTCCTATAACAGTATATATATATGTTCATAGCTATATATATACTTAAATAGTTTAGCCAGTACTTTTCTAAACTGTGTCTTTAAAAAATATTGTGTAGTTTTTTTTTTTTGAAGGATATGAGGCATATAAGATATAATTCTAACCCTATGTAACCCCAGACCTAAGAACTCAGTTGCTTCTCTGAGAAAGGCAATGTGACCTCTTGTGGTCTTTGCCCTCTGTGGTATAATGCAACTTGCTTTTATGATCTAATGATACTATCTAATATATTCCTGTTTTTACCAGTATAGTAATTCAAGTTTCTTTTAAGACCTTATTTAATTCTGTAAATCTAATTTAATTCTTCTCCCCAGCCCTAGCCTCCTTCTTCTCGTACTAATGCTTCTTCTTTCTAATCTTATTTGCATTCATATTATCCACCCAGGTGGTACACCAATAAGAGGTAAGAGTGCTGACCTAACGTTCACAGAATGATCTTACTCATTCTTTCTGTCCTTTCATCCCTCTCATCTTTGTCCAGTTTTCAAAATCATTTCAATAATGTCCATCAACTTGATTTTCTTTCCTTTGTACTGTTTGGTTATGGTTCGTGACTCTCATATTGTGGACTTTCCTTTCCTTTTCCTTTTTCTCTTTGTTTTGTTCATTTCTTTCTTTACAAAAATGATTATTTAAGTTGTGATATGCTTCAAAGAAAGCATATCCGGGTCTTTAGACCTCAGACCAGTCACAGCGTACCATCTGTCCCTCTTTTTTTCCTTTTCTTCTTCTTCCTTTTTCTTTTTTCTCTTTTTGTTTTTTTCTTCTTTTTCCTTTTTTTTTGTCCAACTGGAGAAAAAAAAAGATCATTTTTTTCTTCCTTAGCTGTTCTTGTTCTGGACCCAAGCCAAGGTGGTCTGGAGAACAGTGGCAGACATGCAGAAGACAGCCTGGACCATCTGCTTTTTGTCTTTATCTTTCAAAGGGTTTTTGCTTTTGTTCTTCAATTCTTTTTTCTCTTAATGTCTTAAAAGTCAAAGAATGACTCCCCTTTCCACCTGATCCCACTCGCCTACAATCTGACAGCAATGCTTTTTCCCCCCAACTTCTTTTTTTCTTGGCTTACTCACCTCTGGATTTTTGGATCTTCTGTCCTTCAGGAAACAAGGTGCTCAGTATTCTTGGTGGTATGTGCTATTGCCGGTTTTTCATACTTTCACTCAGTGTTCATTTCTTTTGTAATTCTTGTTTTGTATTTTTCTTGGGGTTTTGTGACACCACACTGCTAATCCCACTGGTGGATTTTGATGGGTGTCTTAGGGGATCTTTCCTGAGGTCCTCAAGCAGTGAGTGGTCGGCTCTTCCTGGCTGCCATGGGCCGTGCTTTTTAACTTTTTTAAAATCTTCTAATGCAAATGCTCTTTGTTTTTCAGCAAATGGAATAAATGATTGTAAGTCGTGGCAAACTGTCTTTCTTTTCTTAAAAATCTGCATGTCTTAAGGGAGTTTTGTTTCTTTAAGTAATATTTTGATAACTGATAATGACTAATTTTAATTTTTCACTTTGTGCAGCCTTTTTGTGCTTGCTGCGTATTTTTGGCTTTCTTCAGCAGAAGACTTTCTTGAAAACCCAGCCTGGTTTTTTTTGAGCATACCTATCTTTTGCGCCACTTTTGATACCAAAATGAAACAAAACAAAACCAAAAAATTAATCTTTTGTTTTATTTAAAAGCCATACTTCCTTGAAGCAGTCTCACCCATCTTCATTTTATTAGTCTAGGAGATAAGAGTGTTAATTATGAGTAGAAGTCTTGCTTGGGAAAAGAGATACTGTTATTTTATGCTAGCATTGATGATGTAAAAAATAATCTCTGTATGTTTTTCTCATCACATCATCTTCTGTCTGTGCAACTTAGCAAGAGATTGACTCGACGTTGAGCCGACCTTCGCTTTGCAGGGCTTTTCATATTGTTAAGAGGTTTTAGCTTTCCATACTGTGAAAGCTTTCTCTGACCGTCTCTTTGGAAATATATTTTATATCCACACAGGAGCCCTTCAGATCGAACAGAGTGAAGAATCTGACCAAGGAAAATATGAGTGTGTTGCTACCAACAGCGCGGGCACTCGCTACTCTGCCCCTGCCAATTTATATGTCAGAGGTAGGAATGACATAACCCTGGCATGGCTTCCTCATTCAGGCTCAGGGAGAGATGAGACACCCACGGGATCTGTGCAATTATGTCAGTGTTTAATAAGCAGATTTGGTGATAGGTATTGTAGCCAAAGCATTTTATTAATTAAAAGAGTGAAATTTATAATTGTTATTTTTAAAAAAGTGACAACCCTTGAGTATAATCTATCCTGAGGCTTGAGGTTTTGTAAGTACATTTTGATTTCTATTTTGACTGCATTGATTGAACTGTGTTTTGCATTTGTTTGAGATTTTCTTTCACTTTTTTCTGTTGTTTCTCTTCTGTTTCCTTAAACCTTGAAATAATTGCTCGGTGTGCTACTAATCAGTTCTGTGTGCAACTCCAAGTGTAAAGGTGTTTATGCCTTCATGACCTCTGCTGCAGAACTGTGAGGATAAAGCAGCTAAAATAAAAAAAAAGAGGGTGCCTCATGGAAATAGCACAATTGTATCCCTTCTTTATATACTGTCTTAATTAATAACTGTAGTATTATATATGTGCATATACATAATATATATGTGCATATGCACCTATATACTCATATATTCTTAAGTAATAAAGACTTACTAAAAATTTTTAATCTTTTGATTGCCATGGAACACTGATTATATTTTAAAAAGTAATATTAGTTGTCCTTAAAATGCGAGAGAATTTTAAAGCTACATTCATATTTACTTATACAGTGATAGGAAAGATTAAATTTTGAGCATATGAATGGTTGTTACCTTTCATTTCAATTAGAAAGAAGTACTTCCTCTTCTCCAGAGTTCTAAAAGCTAGTTCCTTTAGTTTTTTGGTCCAGTGGAAGTTTTCTTATTCTGGTCTACATTTGAATAACCAGAAAAGGTGTGGGTGGTGGTGGGAATAAATAAGACTGTGAGGGCTTTAAATTACCATAGGATGGAGTCCCGTAAGAAAATATCTAGCTTGATTTTGAAATTTTTGTTAGAGATAATTTTGTTTCCCTGGGATGTTTTTCTCCTTTCTTTCTATGAAGTCTGGGGTGGGCAAACATGAAGAACATGGTTTCTTCTCTAAATTTTTCAAAAACCCCTTGATCCTTTATCTCATGATAGTGATCTCCTTTGCTGCATGAGGCATGTATATCTTCTTCCACAGAAAATTTCAAAATGATGCTAGTTATTGTTTCTAATACTATGTTAGCCCTTGAGGTATTACTAACCTTTCCAGCTGAGGTAGGAAGGATAAACTAGAGCAAATAAATATGTTCAAGTAGCAGTTGAAAGCCTTGATATGGCCTTTTTACTCTCTCTGTGTTTCCCTTGTTTTTCTCCTTTCCTCATTTCATTGTGTTCTGCATCAAACCCCCTACATCCCTCAGAGCTGCGAGAAGGTTGGTGTGTTTTTTACTTTTTACCCACCTTACAAAACTATTAATTAAACCAATAACAAAGAATACAAATGAAATGAATGTAGCTGCATTGTGGTCCTCTTTTGGTTAATGGGTATGTTTTAGCAGAGAATGCTCTGGCCATGGCTTCCGTTGCTTGCTGGTGGTGTCTAACTGTGATGCATGATAGGAGAGAATGTACCCGGGTGCATGGTAACTGGTAACACTTAACTCTCTAAGGTCCAGTGAACTTGGTCAGTGTTCCTGCTTTCCTTCTTTCTCTACTCTTCCCATCTTCCACTGCACCTCTAATTTCTGCCTTCTAAAGATGCCTGCTGCCCACAGAATGATGTTGTACAGTGTTCCCCTAGTCCCAAGCATGAAGACTAAACCCTCCTCCATTTTTCTTGATACATTCTTTGACACCTTAGAGTTTATACTGGCTCCTGCTTGCTTTGGGTAACCTCTGTGAATTGGCTTCAGGAGGCATGCTTAACTCTGTCTTCTTCTCCTCTGAGTATCATTCACCCATGAGGCCATTGCAGTGAGCCCTTTCTAGTCAAAAAAGTAAAAACCCTAAATGTAGTCAAAAAAGTTTTAGACAGAATTGCTTACCTTCTTCTTGGGGATTTGAGGTTGTTTTTCAGTCTTTTAATAAATTTAAAAATTAATTTATTACCTGCATTTAAGGTATACTATAAAGATTACCCTTTCAATTGAAAATTCTCATGGTATAATGTTTTGCTAATAAAAGCCCAGGATGAAACCTATTTATCTTTCACCTTATCTTTGTACCATGTCTAAAACACATGTATTTAAATGCACTTAAATATGCCAGTTATCTGAAGCAGGAACACTGAACTATAATTGCTTGGTAATTTTTTCTGTGCTACATTGCTTTAATGTTACCGCTTCTCTTTATGTCATTTCCTAGTCTATGTTTTCAATCCAATGTCTTTCAATTTGTATGTAAGCAGAAAACTTCTCTTTCTAGGTTTTGTAGTCATTGATGTTGTTTAACCTTAGATATAAACTTAATGAAATCCTGAATGAGAAATACTCAACCACCTTTCTGAATTTGCAATCCTTACCCTTAACAACCTCAACTTAACCTAAAATCTTCCTGTTTTCAACCCTCTCATCTCCTAAGTCCCTGCCTCAATCACTGTACTCTACCTTCTCCCTTTGTGTTTAGGCCTGTTTTCCCATTATTTCTTCCATTACCATTGCTGTCTTAGATTTTAGCCTTTCTGCCATTATCCTAGCACGGGCCTTGAGACTCTATCTCGTGCATGCCTTGCATGACTCAATCCAGTGTTTCTAGTGATGTTGGCCTGTTTCCTCTTCTGTGACTGTAAATCTCAATGTATGTTTTATTTCTGCATTTGTTCCAGTGTTAGTATGAGGTTTTGAGGCTGCATCCACTCTGAATCTGAAAGCAACTAAATTGCACTTTCAGTGTACTCTAGGTTATGTTGTCCAGGGCTGGGATGTGATCCCACACGTGCACTCACATCACTGGAAGTGAACAGCACTGAAGTTGGTTTTCATACTCAACTTAAATATGCTGGTGGTCTTCCAGCCCCCTCTTCTGCATATACATGCATGCATAAAATTATAGCTACATGCATGCATGTATATGTTTTTGTGTTTATCTTTTGCATGGTGTTTGTGTATTGTTGGTTTGTAGATAGTTTTTTTTTTTTTTTGTGGGGCCCTTGTAGGTCTGAATCAACTTTTGTATGAGTGTGTCTAAATTATCAATGACTAAACTAAGTAAATTCTTCTGTGTATACACACACCATACTTGTATGGTCTGTATTATCCACAGTTTTTCTTTATGTTTTGTTTTTGGACAATCCTCATTATGTTTCAGTTGTTTAATTGTGTCTGTATAGTGCATGTCATGTGTTTAACTAGCCATTTTTTTCTTGCCTTGTATATGTTATCATTTTCCCTTGTGTTTTGTTCCAGTTCGCCGTGTCCCACCAAGATTCTCTATCCCACCCACTAATCATGAAATCATGCCAGGTGGAAGTGTTAATATCACCTGTGTGGCAGTGGGGTCACCAATGCCTTATGTGAAGTGGATGTTGGGGGCAGAAGATCTGACACCTGAAGATGATATGCCAATAGGAAGAAATGTCCTAGAGCTGAATGATGTAAGACAGTCAGCAAATTACACCTGTGTTGCTATGTCAACTTTGGGTGTCATTGAAGCAATAGCACAGATCACTGTCAAAGGTATGCTCAATCCATCATGCTTTAAAAATCTGGGGACACTCAAGACTTCTGACTAAGGTTCCTGTCCTTAGAATTCTACAATAAATCATCTTACCATTTAGTGTTTCAGATGTGTATATCCTAAGCATATTTATGATATTATACAATTTACAGCTATACTTGGTAGGCAGATTCTTTCTTATAATTAGGGATAATCACCAAAATATTTAATAACAGGCTGAACCCATGAATTAACCAGACAGAATCAGGAATGCTAGATGTGGTTGATGCTTGTGGTAAGACTGAGGCTTATGGGATTCATAGTACTCCAGAAAAAGGATCACAAGAAGGGTCCAAATGAGTGTTGTTAAATGTTTAAAATATCTGAAAATAAAAGAAAGAAAGTGAGTTGAAATCAGCATTACCTAATAAAAGGTGCTCTAAATTTTTGATGGGTTCTACTATTAAAAATCAAAATGCAAATAGCATTTTATTCTGTTTTAATTTTATCTTGTACCTGGCATAGATGAGTGCTCATGAAATATTCTCTTCTTGACATAAATGTACTAAATATAACCAAAGTACTATATTCTATGAATATTTTTCAATAAAAAAGGAAGAAGTTGAATGTGTGCAAGTACTAGTTACTTCTACCTAGTATTTATAGAATTCTAGAAAAATTGCAAATTGGAAAAGATCAAGAGTGACTTAAGTTTCCTGCAAATATCTAGGATTGTTACAAAATGAACCCAAATTATCTTCCCTTTCTAGGAAGTATGATCTTAGTAAGCGTATGCAATGTAAAACCAATAATGTGACATGAGAATAAAAGTACACATTATCAACATGTATAGTCATTTAAAATCATATATTGTGCATACTTAAAATATTAAGCATACCTGTACTTTCCACACATTACAGATACAAAATCTGTACTGTACAATAAATATGACATAATTAAACTAATAATGTCAACTAAGTATCAGTAACCATTAGGTACCATTTGTTTTTAGCCTTGAAAGCTCAGAAAGACATGTAGAAGAAATCTGTTACCTACTTCTTTGAAAAAGGTCAGGTCAGAATAGCTGAACAAATATCTTTTTATTATTATTTTTAGCAAATTCCCTTGATCAAATAATATCATTCTGAAGTTCTTAGACTAATATGCAAATGTTGAATCACCTCTTTTCATAGTGACCATTTGCACTTTAAATATGTGAAGGTTTGCTGAAGACTTTAAAAAATTCAAAAGCAAAAGTCACATTGAACTAATGTCTTGTTCCTTTCTTGTCACTATCATCCCAACTCTTGTCACCCTTTTTAAACCCCCAAATAAAGCAAAAGGGTAACCCTTGAAGGAAAAAGAGAAAAATATAAAGAAAAGAAATAAATCGAAATAAAAAGAAGAGCTTGAAGGGAATGAGGAAAGTTGATATTGAGTCATTCATCCAGTCATTTGACAATTCTCATTGAAAAACTACCCATGCCAAGCGCTCTTCTAAGCACTAAGAATGCAGCAGAAGTTTGATGTTCTTGAAGAGCTACCATCCCAGGGGATGTTTCAGTTTTGCCTTTATGTTGACAAAAGAGAGATTATAATAGGCTGGTAATACTCATTTCACCCTCTGAGTTTTCTCCAAAAAGTCAGCTAGTAGAATTTCCCATTTTAGTGTCACTGTCCAAAAGAAGGCAATTTAGGACTGGGGCTTATGTTACAGTGTACTTGCCTAGTAAGCCCAATCCCATGAGTTCAATCCCTAGTACCCACCAATAAGAGGTGGTTTGTATATTAAATAGGACCTTTCTGAGGTGTGTTCTGCTAAAGCGAGAAACTAGCTCTCTAAAAATATGGATTTAAGTGTGTCTATTAGATATTTATGATGTTGACTGTAGAATTTTTATTATTACTGACAATAGAACACTTTAAAACCTGACTTCTGGATATGTCTTAGTTTAGTTCTTTCAGCATATTTAAGAATTAAGATAAAATATTGATTTGATATTATTATTTTGTTATTCTCTTTTACCTTAAAGTTCTTTGGGGTTTGTGTGTATGCATTGTTGAAGACCAAACCCATGGTCCCATGAATGCAGGGCAAGCTTTCTATCCCAGCCCTATCTTAAAATCTTGGGTTAGATTATTTCTAAGAAAATTTTTGTAGTATTTCCTGTGTCTTAGAACTGGAAAAAATATTAATACTGTTCTCACAGCAATTTAATTTCATTTCAGTATATTCCAAATTTTGTTACTTTCAATGTTTACTGATATTAGTTATATCATTTATAGGATAAAAGTTAAGTGGTCATGCTTTTGGTATAAAAATCATAATTATTTCAAGTAACGTTTTTTAGAGTTCCAGATACACTAAGAGTGTTACTGGATTAGCTCATTCATCTTTATAGCAAACCCATGGAATAGTTATTCAGCTGTCTAATATACCCCCAGTAGTGCTGTATTTCTCGTTTTTCACAAGAGGAAACTAATGTAGGAGAGGTTAAGGAATACATCCAGGATCACTTAGCTAATAAGTGTTAAATTTGGATACAAGCCAAAAATATGCCATGGAGCTCTTCTAGAAAAATAGGATTTGTGTCACCTATGTAACATTTTACTGTACTTTTTCACCTCTTAGAATGCTATCATTTGTTATCTTGTCAAACCTTCAGTAGATACATAATCCTGGCATTCCCATACAGTTTATTGATTAGTGTATTACTGTGGAGAAGATGAGTAGTGATCTTTTCTTTTTTTTTTTTTTTTTCTATTCCTAGCCTTACCCAAACCTCCAGGAACTCCAGTAGTGACTGAAAGCACCGCTACAAGCATCACACTGACGTGGGACTCTGGGAACCCTGAACCTGTCTCTTATTATATCATTCAGCATAAACCTAAAAATTCCGAGGAACCTTACAAAGAAATTGATGGAGTAGCAACTACACGCTACAGTGTTGCTGGACTAAGTCCCTACTCGGATTATGAATTCAGGGTCGTTGCTGTCAATAACATTGGGCGGGGACCTCCTAGTGAGCCTGTGCTAACGCAAACCTCAGAGCAAGCACCATCTAGTGCCCCAAGGGATGTCCAGGCACGGATGTTGAGCTCGACCACCATTTTGGTACAGTGGAAAGAACCTGAGGAACCAAATGGCCAGATCCAAGGATACAGAGTTTATTATACAATGGATCCTACTCAGCACGTCAACAACTGGATGAAACACAATGTAGCTGACAGCCAAATCACTACTATTGGCAATTTAGTGCCCCAGAAAACTTACTCTGTCAAAGTCTTGGCTTTTACCTCAATTGGAGATGGTCCTCTTTCAAGTGACATACAAGTCATTACTCAGACAGGAGGTGAGTCTGGTTCATAATGGATAGTAAGGCACAGAGGAGGGGTTAGGGCTTTGAGCCAAAAGGACAAAACAAGGAACAAATGTAGTATGCATTCAAGTTTTTGAGCTTTAGTGCTTGAAATTGAGGTGTTATGATAAGACATCTGAAAAAGAATAGACATAGACAACTGAAAGACCAACTATTTTAAGCAGAGGTGTGCTTTTAGCACTGTATCTTTTTAAATTTTATTTAGTTAATTTTTTCCTTTATTATTGTCCTGGGTACATTGTGACATTTATAGATGTTCTTACAATGTGTCAAATATATCATACTTGAATTCACCCCTTCACCATTCTCTTTTATCTCCCCCATTCCTGGAGTAGTTTCAACAGGTCTCATTTTTCTGTTTACATACATATGTACACAGTATTTGCACTATATTCACCCTCTTACACTTATCCCCACATCTTCTCCCCTTCCACTGGTACCAACTCACCTCCCTCCCAGGCAGACCTGATTCTGCCCTCTTGTTCTCTGATTTTGTAAAAGAAAAATAATGATATTTTTGTTTGTTTAAGATAGCTACACAGGGAGTTGCCTTGTGGCACTTCCATGTTTTTATGTATTATAGCCCGATTTTGTTCATCTCCTCTATTTTTCTCCTTTCTACCTTAGTCCCTTTCTTATTGTGGTTTCAACGGGTTTAAAAATTCTGAATCCATTCTTGTATAGAGAGTACATTAACCATATTCACCTTCTTAACTTCCTTCGTTTACCCTCCCCCTCTTGTTTGTGACCTACCCTTAGTGTGACCTGTTTTTCACAATATTGCTGCATTTGTATTAGAAGCATATTCCACATATTAGAGGAAGCATGTGTCCTTTGGCTTTCTGAACCTGGCTAATTTTACTTAAATTGATGTTCTCCAGTTCCATCCATTTACCTGCAAATGACAGAATTTCACTCTTCTTTGTAGTTAAATAAAATTCCATTGTATATAAATGCCACATTTTCTTAATCCATTCATCACTATTGGGGCATCTTGGCTGTTTCCATTACTTAGCTATTGTGAATAGCACTGCAATAAACATGGGTGTGCAGGTGCTTCTGTTGTAACCTGACTTACATTCCTTTGGGTATATCCCTAGGAGTGGTATTGCTGGATCATATGGCAGATCTATTTTT